AGGTTTAAGCTGCTAGGGTAGCTGCGTAGGTTAAATAAATTAAGTTAGTAAGCTGTAGATCTCCTCTTACTACTATCCTTGCTTTGCACTTAATTAGGTAACTATCCTAATTAAGCTTGTATGTAAACACCCATTTAAGTAGGAGTAGATGCTCTCCTTTAGTTAGCCTATTAATCTCCTCCTAGGTACTAGCTTTTAGTAGAGTATTAATTTCTTTATATACTGCGTCTCTAAATTGCTATCCTATTTAGTAGTTATAGAGATCCTTCTATTATTTTAGCTATTTTTATAGAGCGTCCTAGTGCGTATTTCTTTTAGGGTTTTTAGGGGATTTGCTCCCTATTACTACTACAATCACAGCGTAGATTATAGTGTTTAGTTTAGGATATACTAAAAGATTATGCAAGGGATTTCTAATTAGATCTATATCTAATAGATCTATTACTATATATATCCCCGCACTTATAGAGCCTCCTAGTAGTTTATTAGGGTCCTGTCCCTAAGCTTGCTTACTAACACACGTTAGTGGCAGTCCTTTAACTTATAGTTTTCTACTTCTTCTAGGAGCTCTAGGTGCTGCTTATAAGGGATCTGCAGGAGATACAGAATCTAGTCCTAAAGCAGGTAGGTAGGAGCTCTGCTTACCACCCCTATAAGAGCTAGATAGGGTGCCCTTACTTATCTCTGTGCTCTTATAGAGTGACCCACTAATAGCACTCTCCCCTCTAGGTCTTTCCTAGGAGCTACCTATTGTGGCGTTAAAGTAAGTTAGATTACTACTATCTTAGGTAGTAAGACCCTAATCTATAACCTATATAGATCCTTTATTTCCTATACTAAAGTTTAGTTCTAGTGTTAGTTTAGGAGTTTAGAGCCCTGTTAGCTTAGGGGACTTTATATAGATCCTTTGTGGTAAGCTAGCTATGCTTAGTACCTACGCTAGAGGTGTCTGCTTAGGGGGTTATAAATTACTAGGCTAGCTAGCCTAATTATCTACCTCCTCTAGCTCTACCCTACCCCCTAGCTCCTACGCTAGGTTTAGTCCTCCTTGCTTACTAGACTCCTTATATTGCTCTGCTATAATATAAAGCTAATTAAAGATATTAAGCTCTTTATATGCTTCTCCTACATTGCAGATCTTATCTTTGCTAATAACGTTAACTATCTTTTAAGCTTCTAACTATTAAAGCTGCTCTAGATCTTTCTCTTTATAGAAAAGATCCTTATTAAAGGTAATGTTCTGCGTTGTAATAATTTAATTAAGCAAGGGGATCTATATCCTGTATATATTAGATACTCTATATCCTACTAGATATCTAATATAACCCTAAGGGTTTACCTTAAAAACCCTCTTGTAACGCCTAGCTGCTTAATCTCTATTAAGGGGGTAAGCTTAATAGCTATAGGCGTATATTCCGCTCTAATTAGGGCGGAGATTAGCAGTTGCCTCCCTTATCTACTCTAGTTGCCACCACCTAAAGTATCTAGTAAACTAACAATCTAGCACTTTGTTAGGTGATATTATATTATAAGCATAGGACAGGCTTATATTATAGAGCTAAGTCACTGCTTTAACAATTTTAGGCCAGAGCTTTATTAGTAGGTTAGCACTAATCCTTATTTTAATTAATTTTATTATAATCTCCTGCCCTACTCTTTCTACTCCTCTATTAGGTTTATAGGTATATACGGGTAAGCTCTTAATTTTAATACTATTATTAGCTACCTAGATCTAAAAGCAAGATTTGCCACGCTAAGGGAGCGTTGCAATATTATTATCTTGCATAATCTTAACTATACTAAGCTTATATTAGTTAAGTATTAAGCTCTTAAAATTTTTAAACACCTATATAATCTTATTAAGGTTTTTAGCTTGTAGTAGATAGGTATAAAGCTTTCCTAAGTAGTTACACTTTAATACTAAGATCTATTACTTATAAGCTATACCTGTTAGCATGTTAAATAGATCCTATAATACCTAGTAGTATAGACGTAGTAATCTTTCCCTTAGTTATCTTAATATAACCTGTTAGGCATGTGTAATAGCGCAGTGCTCGCATTTGCTCCTAGGAGTTCCTTTAATCCTAACGTTTATAGCTAACTTAACTAGAGCTTTAAGCGCCTTAGGTCCTAAATAGCCTAATTATTAGTGCTAAAGCTCCTTACTGTCGTGTCTTAGGTAAGTCGTCTAGGATTGCTAGGGTTGTTTAGGCACCATGCTTTAGATTATTTAATAAGGGGTAGAGGGCTTGTATTCTAGGAAAGTTAAGTTAAACTTGCGTAGTAACTTAGCTAATATAACGCTCTTTTCTAATAATCCAAACCATAAGGTGGTATCTAGCCTAAGGAACTAAACTCCTGCTTTAAGCAATTAAGCTTCTAATATAATATTCACATAAAATCCTTCTACTAACACCACGTTAGTAAGCACTAAATCTTCTGTTTTTGGACCTCTTAGTCTATTAAGAGCATTAGGGATTACTCTAGTCCCTCTGCCTAAGATTAGAAAAGCTTAAGTTCCTGCTTTAACTATCTTATATCTAACTAATCTAAACAAGCTTTCTTCTAGGTAGCTTATATTATTAACTAGGTGCACCACACCACTATTGTTAAAGATAGTGCTCTTTAATAGAGTGTAAGCTTTAAAGTCTATAGTTAAATAGATCCTGTTTGTTTTCTCCGCTATTAACATAGGGTTAATTAGTGCCGCCTAGATACTACCTAGATAGGTAATTATACTTGCCTTACTACTATAATCTTAATTACTAGGATAGGACCTAATTAGAGTTTTTCTTAACTCTTTGAATTTTAGATTCCTATTAATCTTTTTCTTAATCTCTAATTATTAAGTAGTAGTAAGCTTGTTACCTATATTAGTCTAAGCTTTAATAACGTTTTTGCATTTAGGAGGTTTCTATAGGTAAGATCTACTACATAGGCATAAAGACTCCTTCTTAGGATAATTAGAAGGAGGAGCTCCTATTGTTACAAACACTCTAGGACCTTTAGAGCTTAATCTTATATCGTTCTCTTAGAGAAGTAATAAATAGATCTTAGTAACCTATAGGAGGTTATAAGTTAGCTCTCCTATTACTAACTTTTTAATAATCCTTTAAAATATAGTTTAACCCTAATCTAGTAAGATCCTAGTAGATAGAGCTTTAAGATAATCCTGTACTATAAGCTATCCTTTAATATTAGGAACGTTGTATACCTTAGCTTGCGCATACAGGATTATCCACTCCTTCTACTAGCAATTAGCGTCTTAGCTACTTATCTTTGCCTTAGTAAGATAAGCTTTATACTATAATCTTGCTAGTATTACAGCGCTTAAATTAGTTAGCGCTAGGTTATTATAGAGCACTTAGATAAGTACTTAGAGGGTTACTCTTCCTTAATTAATAAGCTCTATATAGGCTAGGGTAAGGATCCCTTAATCTACTATATTATTAACCTATATAAAAAGGTTCTAGATTACTAATAACTTTAATACCTAATCTAATAAGCAGGCTTAGTACTAAGCTATTTAGAGTTTATACTGCTCGCTTATTATATTAGATAGCGCAGTACCTATTAGCATGTTAGGCTTAATAGGTTTATTCTTAAAGTAGTTTTTAACATCCTAAGTATTAGGGTCTACCTCTACCTAGATCCCTTTAGTTAGGGCATAGTATCTAAATTAAATATACTAGGTAGGCTAGTTAGTTAATCTAGTAAGTAGGGTATCCCCCTTTAAGATTTAGTCACTTATAGTAGAAGAGTAATAAGTAAGCTTCTACTTAAGAAATAGGATAAAGAAAGAGTAAAGCTTGCTAGCTTAGTGTCTAAGTTAAATAATACGCTTAAATAGATAGGACAATCTTTAATAAGGTAAAGCGCAAACTAGGCTTATAACTATAGAAATCTAGATTACTAAGGTTAGGAATAATTTAGGAGATAGATTATTAGATTATATCTACTACAATCGTACTTATATATATAGAGCTTTAGCTACCCTTACTAGAAGGTGAATAATTAGTAAACCTTCCTTACTAGAGCTCCTGCTTTTTATTAGGCACTTGGCAGTAAGCTGGCAGTCGATCAGATAGTGGGTCATACAGGGGTATTGATCAGGGTTGATCGGCTCAAGATGCTCCGTGATCCGGTTGATATCCCTCCTGCAACAATAGCTATCATAGGTATAGATTTGGAGGGCGTAGAAGTTTTAGAGAAACAGGTGTTCGGTGGGGACGGGCGTTCGGTGGTGGATCACGTTATTCGACGACGTACAGAGGTGGAGACGTAGAGTCGTGAGTGAACCAAGACCGAAGGGCTAGGTGCTTGCCCGGTATTTAACTAGACTTAATCGGGGTATCAGGGAAGAAGTAGAAAGACCAAATCTCAGGTGTGTATACTCTAGAGTAGTGTGAGTAGTATAGCACAGTGCACATTGCAGCATGTTGAGAGCACGTGACCTTGCAGCGGTTGAAACGGCAGCGGAGTGGAATATCTGTGGTGGCAGTTGAGGTCAGTGTCCAGATCTGAACACAACGTCGTAATTGCCTGTAAAGCGGTTGCCTTTTGCAGCCAAGTAGGTGAAACGCAGTATGCTTCAGAACGACTTATATTCGCACGCGCACAAATGCGCCACTCTATTGGTCACCAGAAAACGGCCAAGGCGAACCAACACTGGCGGAACAAACTTGGCGAAGAAAAATCTACACTTGACTCGCCAAGTCGCTAACTGCAGAACCGGGAGAGTGGGTCTGCCCGAGAGTGCAGAGCCAACCGCGCAGGACTATGGTCAAGATTCAAGATGAAGATGAGATTCCTGTGCACTTGGCTTGTTGCCGTGTTGGGTTCCTAAGACCGACAATGTCGCAGTGCTAGAGGCAAATGCACATTGTGCCAAGTGCTTGTGTTCCACAGTATATATGTTGCGTGTCCGTGAAACTTGGATGTCGAGCTCCCAAAGATTCCACGCTCTTTCTCTCTATCAGTTGTCCATCGATAGATTTGAGATGTCGGCTCCTCCAATTACTGCGCGCTATGACTGGATCCTAGCGATTACATCGATTGCATTCATCTTCTCAGCCTTTGGTAATGGCGCCAACGATGTCGCCAATTCGTATGCGAGTAGGTTAATATCCCATCAGTGGATGGATAGAGTTTTAACATGGGACAGCGTCGGTCGCCGCTCGAACCTTGACCATGCCACAAGTTGGTGGGCTGGCAATAGTCACCGAGTTTGTTGGAGCAGTGGCTTTAGGTGCCCGTGTAACGGATACGATTAAGAACGGAATCATCAACATTGACCGTTTCACAGCAGCTACAAACCCGGGAACCTTGATGCTGGCAATGGGCTGTGCTGAAGTTGGGTCTGCCATCTGGCTGATGATCGCAACTGTAAGTGTCTGAGTCTCCATGATCATTCAGACAGCATATTGACCCGTACAGCACCTTGGAATGCCCGTCTCAACTACTCAAACAATTGTGGGTGCCCTCGTCGGTGTCGGTTTCGCAACACAGGCTGGCATTACCTGGGGCTGGGAGTCTGGTTCAGTATCGCAAGTGGCTGCCAGTTGGGTCATCGCGCCTCTCATCGCCTGTGCCTTCAGTGCCATCATCTTTGGAACTGTCAAATACGCCGTCCTCGAACGCACAGACTCTTTCAAATGGGGAATGCGACTGATCCCCTTGTACTTCGCCTTCACCTGCGCTATCTTGGCCCTTTTCATCGTCGTAGAGGCACCAACGGCACCCTCCCTGGAAGAATTTGGAGCTGGCAAAGCTGCTGGCATCATTCTCGGTGTCTTCTTCGGTGTACTGCTCATCTCATACGTCTTCTTCATCCCCTTTCTCAAGCGCAAGTTGATCCAGAAAGATGCCCGTCTTCGCATCTGGCATGTTCCCCTCGGACCCTTACTCATGAGAGAGAACCCGCCCCTCTACTGGGCCGGAAGTAAAGACGGTGAATATGTCACAAACTACTACGAGGACGCATACGGCGAGGTTCGCGCTCAGGGCCAGGAGCTGCGTCAACGCAAAAATGCAGCTGGAGGCGACGAGGAATCGACGATAATGACCGCGCAAGGTAGTGCCAAAGGGGACCTTCCAGAAGAAAAGCTGCGTGGTAGCAACGAGCAGTCCGCGGTCCCTGAGCGTAGGCGTAAGATAAAGCCCGAGCCATACGAAAGATTTATCGGGCCTGTGAAAGAGCTTCCCTGGGTCCATCCCTTGAAATACTGGGGATATTTCAAATATGGTTTTCTCCAGGGTGTGACTCGCGATGTTATTACACACGATAGTGATAAACTGCGAGACATCCATTCGCGCGCCAGCAGATATGATGACCGTGTCGAACACATGTGGACATACTGTCAAGTCATCTCGGCCATGATGATGTCGATTGCGCACGGATCCAATGACGTCGCCAATGCAGTCGGCCCTTGGTCTGCTGTGTACCAAACCTACCTCGAGGGCCGTGTTGCAACCGAATCGCCTACCCCCGTCTGGATGCTGGTCGTTGCTGGGTTGTTGCTTGGTATCGGTTTCTGGGTTTACGGATACCACATCATGCGTGCGATGGGTAACAAAATCACGCAGATGAGCCCTACTCGTGGATTCGCCACTGAGCTGGGAGCTGCTATCACGGTCTTGCTTGCGTCACGTCTTGGTCTTCCCGTGTCTACCACTCAGTGTCTGACGGGATCTTTGGTTGGAACAGCGCTGATGAACTACGACGTAAAGGCAGTCAACTGGAGACAGTTGGCCTATATCTTCATGGGTTGGGTGTTGACTCTACCCGTGGCTGGTCTTATTGCCGGAGTCATTTGCGTCATGGCACTCAACACACCGCACTTCTAAGGGGCTGGTACTACCAGGAAGGAGGAGAAGGTCCAGGCTGTTAATAAATAGAAGCTGTTCTTTGGTAAGCACATTCCCTAAGCAGAGCGCGCCTCTGCAGAATTTCAGGGCCTTTCAAGCAAAACAACTCAAAATTTGTCTCACCTTTGTCCTTTTGCTGAAATTGGTGATGTGAGGGCTCGAAGTCTACTACCTAATGCGGTGCTGTTAGGCTAGGTATAGGAATTAATTCTTTTCTATATAGATATACACTTATATATACCTTTGAGTTATATTAGATTCTATTTAGATACCTCTACCTACCTAGGTTATTATAATTAGTACTATTACCTAGAAAGGATTTAGTGTAAAATATTAAGAGACTAGTATAACCTTGAATAGTTTATAGAAGCTAAAGTCCTTAAGTATAAGAAGGTAAGGGCCTACTTTAAGCCATCAAAGTATAACTTTATTATTACCTACTAACTAGGAGTACGTAATCTAGTGGATAGTTGTGGAAATTTAGATTACTAAGCTTAGGAATAATTTAACAAATAGAGTATTAGATTATATCTAGTACAATAGGACTTATATAAAAAGAGCTTTAACTACCCTTACTAGAAGGTATATGTAAAGGGCTTAGGCTTATGCCTAAGCCTAGGCCTAACACAAGATAGACAGAGTCTAACACTACTACTAAGCGAACACGCTACACACCTATAAAAAGGCGTGGAGGGCTTACCTCTCCTTTAAGATACTAAAAACTATTATTAACGCTTATTGCATTCTCCCTTAAGGCTAGTCTATAATAGTATATAATTAGTAAACCTACTATACAAGAGCTCCTTTTTCTATTAGGCACTTAGTAGTAAGCTATTAGTAGATTAGATAGTAAGCTAGGAGTGGATTAGATTGTAGATTAGCTAGGGTATGGATTAGGGATTTAGATGAGTTAATTAGATTTGTTAGGACGCTAGGCTCCGTTAGCTTAAGGGACTCTAGCATAGCCTAGGATAGCTTAGGCTAGGTAGATTACGTGATTATAGGCACTATAAATACCCGTAAGAATTGATACACACGGTATCAATTCGTTTAATATCTAATTAACACCTATTGTCCTAATCTACCTATAAACCTCTATCCTACACCATAACTTTATATATATATAATCTATTAATATATAATATAAAATAACTAACTAACTACTAATATATAACTACTATCTACTTTATTATTATTTATTAAGTAGCTATTTTAAGGAGCTCTATTTTAGATATATAGTATACCTTAGAGTCTATAGGGAGTTATCTAGCTAGGCTAGTTTTAGAATCTATAAGAGGAACCTTAGAAACGCTAGAGCCCTTATTATTAAATAAAGGATTCTAGGTACTATTAGCTATAGTAGTAGCTTTATATATAAGCTTAATAATAGTTATATTAGCTTTAATTAGGCTCTACTATTAAGCCTTACTTTTCTTAAGAAGTACTAACACTTTTTTTTTCTACTTCTTAAGGTACTTTTAGCTTGTAGTTACCTACCTTTTTACTAGCAAGGCTAATGTAGTATAATAGGTATGCTTAAGGCTATATTTACTTATTAATTATTAATTTTACTAAGTAATATAAAAGAAAAATCTTATATAAATTATATATATTAGATTATAACTATACCTAGAGAGGTACCTCTAGTACCAGGTCCCTCTACTAGTAGGGACATAGTATTTACTATTACATTTTTTAAAATATACTAAGTATAGATAATTTAAATATATTTTATAATAGTACATACTAGAATCTTTATAGTAGAAGGAGTTTAAGGTCTTCTTAAAAGTAAGAGTAGGAGCTTTGGGTAGAGTATAAGGGGGAGTACAAGTAGTAGTAGAAGTAAGAGTAGATATTATAGCTAGATTAGAAGTAAAGGTAGGTATTATAATAGTTTTTTTTAATTTCTTTACTATTACTATATATAATGTTATAGACTAGCCTTAAGGGAGAATGTAATAAGCGTTAATAATAGTATTTAGTATCTTAAAGGAGAGGTAAGCCCTCCACGCCTTTTTATAGGTGTGTAGCGTGTTCGCTTAGTAGTAGTGTTAGACTCTATCTATCTTGTGTTAGGCCTAGGCTTAGGCATAAGCCTAAGCCCTTTATATACCCCTAAACCTCCCTAGGAGCTATTGTAAAATTGTCTTCCTACTAATCTAGGCATATGTCTTTATCCCTCTCTAATGTATATTAGGCTTTTTTACTATATCTTTAGCCTTTATTATTGTATCTTTATATTGCTTTCTAATTTACAATAGGCCTATATATTAAGTAGTATGCATACGTAGTATCTATATAGTTATTTTAGTACTCTACTATAAATGTTCTAATATAGCTAGGCTAGTAAATCTAGGTTAGTGTACACTAGCTATGGTACTAGGTTAGGTTTAGGTCGCACAGACCTATGTAACAATAGGGGGGAATTGTTCGCCTATTGTTCTATACTAAGTTAGCCCTAACAAAGGCCCGACTTGCTAATGTATATAGAGAGCAGCTCGCCTATATTAGGATAGGCATGTTCTTCTTATCCTTTTATACAAGACCTATAGGTATGGGAATCTTATCCTTTTCTATATAGACGCGCACTCCTATATACCTTTAAGTCGCATAGGATACCTTTTAGATGCCCTACCTACCTAAGTTATTATATTATAAAAAGAATATTATCCTAGCTAGTAATAGTATTTAAGAATATTGCACTTGTTGTTATTTTAAGCTACTAATTTAGTTCTAGTAGCTACCAAACCCTACAACTCTATAGTTAGAACAGCTATTAGAACTTCTAACGACTAAAGCCTATAGGCTTGGACTTCTAGACCTATAGGTGGTGCTAGATTACCTTTAGAAAAATCGCGTTAGATTGCGTTAAGGTAGAGACCTAGAGACTACTAAAAGCCTAGAGGAATTAGAGGCAAAGCTAATATCCTCCTATAACTAAACCCCCCCTAAAAAGAAAAGATTTGTTGTTCTTATTAACTACAAAATGTTAGACAAAGGCAAAGGAAGGGCATCTAGTTTAGCTGCTTTTAAAAGCCTATTCACTAATAGAAAGAAATTAGATAAGGAAGACTTAATTAATAACGCCCTCCTTAAAGGACCCTCTTCCTATCTATCTCTTAAGGTACCTTGTGCTCCTAGGAAATCTTAAAGCAACACCTCCCTTAAAGATAAATATATATTAACCCTATCTAAAAAGGAGAGGTTAGAGGAATAAGTTAAGCAACTTACTAATTAGTTGTACAACACCTCCCTCTATAAGGAGATATAGGGTACTACCTAACCTAGCTAGTCTTTAGCTTCTATATTAAACTATATAGTATATACTATAAAAGCTAAAAGATAATCTAAAAAGACGCTAAATATCTCTACACTTAGTAATAGTGCTAATCCTACTTTTAGATAATAGCAAGTATCTATCTAGGATAGGCTAGAAATTAATACTAATTACTACCCCTCTTCTAGAGCTTAAATAGTGTTAGTCTAGGGACACTACTTAGGACTAGCAAGAGAATACTTAGAGCCACGTTACCTATCTAATACCCTAAGTCTTTAATTCTAAAAAGCTAAGGAAATAATTACCCTCCTCTAAACTTACTTTATTACTAGAAATAAGATAGTAGAGAGTTAGACTATATTTAACTGCCTGTATATAACTAATATAGAGATATTCCCTACTTTTAAGTTATAATTCTAGAGTCTTGCTATTAGAGGAGAAGTACCCTAATTAGAGTAGTATTACTACCTCTAGATAAAGATTACACCTTCTCTAAGGATGCCAAACCTCGCTTTCTAATAGAATTAGCACAATAATTTTAAGACTATAGTAGATTATCTTACTACTTTTAATATAGAACGCCGCCTATACCCTACCTTATCTACTTCTACCTAGACTACTCTGTTATCTAGAAAAGGACTAACCCCCTTCTAACACTCTAGAAACTAGTCCTATTTAGACGCTAATTAGAAACCTTATAATAGACCTTTAATAGCTAAACCTTATATGCCCTACTTATAATAATAAGGCACTATCCCTTAAAACAATTAACCCCTATCTACTACGCTAGCTACTCCTAGCGCTACTACAATAGGAACCCTAGTAACTTGCTATAATTATAGAAAGCCTAGGCACTTCTCTAGTAACTACCCTAAACCCCCTAGGATTTAGGCTATAGATGTAGAACAGGTTACTAAGAATTCTAAGGAAGAAGATACCGCTAAATTAACTAATTTAGATAGCTATTAGACAGGAAACAACAACGCCTAGGAGGATCCTCCTTCCTAGGCCTAACTTAATATAACCTGTTAAACCTTTCCTTAACTAAATTATTTGTTAGTTCCTATTTGCTTGCACGTACGACCCTATGCCTTAATAGATCTAGTGTTTACCTAAACGCTTTAGTAGATACTAGGGCCTAAGGTTATTTATTTCTTAATTTAAAAATTGCTTATAATATCTCTTCTACACTTAGGGTACCTATCTAAAAGCTACTATATAAGCTTACTATTAAAGAGTTCTAGGACTAGATTACCTCCCTAGTTGCCTACTATATTTGGCTTTATATAATAGTTAGTGGCTAAAAGGTTTATAACTGCCTCTTTATAATAGTAGACTTAGGTTCTTAGGATTGTATTATTAGATAACACTAGCTAAAATAGTTCTAAATCCTAATTAATATAGATAAATCTTAACTAATCTAGCTAGAGAAATATCCTCTAACCTATAACCCTGCACCTCCTATTCTAGTACGACTCTACTAGCAAGTGCTGTCTACTCTAGTTACCCACAACATCTTGCAAAGAGACGCCCTTTAGGATTAAGAGGAGCACTAGAACTAAAACAGTCCTAGTTTAACTAATAGGATACGTAGTATACTTAAAATTCTAGCCACTTATAGGGCTACTACTAAACTAATTACGCCACCTACCCTAGTCTAATTGCTAACTGTTACCCTACCTGTAAAATTTTAAATTGCAAC